GTAGTAATTGTAGTAGTACTAACAATAATTATAATGATAATGATGATAATGATTATGATATGATGATGATGCTGATGATGCTGCTGCTGCTGCTGATGATGATGATGAAGATGATGATGGCGATGATAATAACAATAATCATGACAAGGGTAGATATAATAATCGTAATGTGATACTTATGGAAATAATGATAAAGATGAATACAGTGATAATGATGATACGGATTATAATGATAATGATGAAGTTCATGATGGTAACTATGATAAAGATAATTCTGATTATGACTGCAACAACGATAACAGCAATCCTACTATCAATAATTTTAATAATATTGATAATAATTATAATGATAATAGTAGTATCAATAACAATGATAATAATAATGATGATGATGACTAAGATGGTAATAATGATGGTGATGATAATAATGATTACAGCAAGAACAAAAACAAGAACAACAACAACAATAATAACGATAATAACGATTATAATAAAGATGATAATGAGGATGATATCAATGATAAGAAAAACGATACTAACTATAATAATAATGATAGCAACAATTATAATAATAATGATAATAATGATGATAATAATAATAATAATAATAATAATAATAATAATAATAATAATAATAATAATAATAATAATGATAAAAATAACAATAATGATGATAACAGGAATGCTGATGATGAAAATAATAATAATATTAGCAAAACTGATAATATCGGTAACTACGATGATAATAACAGTAACAACAATAATGATTAACAATGATTGAAATTATGACCATGGCCATATTGTTATTACTGGATATCAAATAATGATGATAAATGATAACAATGTTGATAAAAGGATAGCAATTCATTAATTATTACAGTTTATAATGTTATATCAACACTATTGATAATGATGGCAATGGTATTAAGGACAATGCTAATGATATAAAAAATAATAACAACAGTAAAAAGATATCACTGATAACAAAAGTATCAAAACCAGTATCAATCATGGTGATTATGGAAATTATTATAAGTAAGATATTTTTGATGGCTCTAATAAAAAGGAAAGGAAGATCCACTAACACACACACGCATATGTACACGTTCGTAAGCATGCAATACCCTTGTTAAAATAATCTTATTTCTGTGTATTACTTTATGCATATCTATATACACCTATCACTTTCATTTATACTCATTAATTTCTAACCCTCATCTCTCTCATATCTATGTATATGTATGCATACACGCATACATGTGTACATATATGCTATAAAACAATCATATTTTATGTCGACTTACAAAAATGTAATGTGCTGGTAAACAACCATTTTTCTAAATAATTTTTAGCTGCATTGTCATCATCTCAAAGTCCCGGCCAAGTGGTTAAACCAAAAAATATCTTATTTGCTCTGAGGTTTGTATACCAAAGGAGAAAGGCAAGACCTTGTGAAGGCTAAGCTGAAGCACGGAGGAGGAGCGTCTGATGCTGGTATATATATATGGCTCCGCATGGGGACAGGGTATCTACTTCAGTCATGAAGTTCTTGGTGAGTAGTACTAGACACTGTTTTGTGTTCTGCCATAAGCCTGCTATTTTATATGATTTGTTACTTCAAAGGAAGAATACCGATTTAATTCAGATGAATGCACTGTGTTTCTCATAGGTCTTAGCACTGGTGGCTGCTGCGTCTGCTGCCCCTCAGGGGTACAACCTGGGCAAGCCCTCGGGACCTTCCTTTAACTCTGGAAGTTGTGGCAGTGGACAAGTGCGGCACGTGGATGGAAGATGCGTTACGCCTCAGGTGAACAGCCGTGTGTTCCTGTACGATGTACCAGCAAACGAAGGTGTTGTCAATCGGCCAGACTACATTCCAGAACCTAAATTGGAACGCAATATTATTTTTGTGAGACTTCCTGACGGCGCACAAGGACCAGAACCCATCGTCGTACCACCGCCACAACAACAACACGTAGTGTATGTTCTGAACAAGCAGTCTGAACACGACCAGCGAGTGATCGAGGTTCCTGCACCACCACAGTCGAACCCCGAAGTGTTCTTCGTGAACTACGCAGAAGGAGAGAACCCGACTCTTCCCAGCGGAGTAGACCTCCAGACGGCGTTGAGCGCAGCTTCCCAGGGCGGCGGTCAAGTTGTTGGAGGTGGTGGAGTTGGAGGAGGAATCGGAGGTGGTATTGGCGGCGGTATCGGAGGCGGAATCGGAGGTGTAGGCGGAGGCGGAATCGGAGGTGGTATTGGCGGCGGTATCGGAGGCGGAATCGGAGGAGGAATCGGAGGTGGCATTGGTGGTGGCATCGGAGGCGGAATTGAGAGGAATGGAGGTGCATCGGCGGTGGTATCGGCGGCGGAATTGGAGGTGGCATCGGCGGAGGAAGCTATTCACCTCCGTCCAACCTCTACAGCACACCTTAAAGAATTCACTCTAGATACGATACTGTAATCGTGGATGAATGTGAAATATAAATGTATTTATTTG